CCCCCCGCGGCACGGCAAGCTCCTTGTGGTAAAGTGACAAGCTCTGTGTCCGGCGTCCGCTGCCCTCAGTCCCTCACTGTCCCTTGGTTCCTGCGCCAGGTTGCTGTCCCTGCGTGTGCAGAATCACAGAATCAGTTTGGCTGGAAAAGACCTCTGAGATGATTGAGTCCAACCTATGATCGAACACCAGAATGTCGACTAAACCGCAGGACTAAATACTAGGTCCAGTATTTCCTTAAACACCTCGGGAAGGGTGACTCCACCAGCTCCCTGGGCAGCCCATTCCAATGTCTAATCACCTTTTTTCTGTGAAGAAATTCCTTCTAATGTCCAACCTAAAGCTCTTCTGCTGCAGCTTAAGACGATGTGCGCTTGTCCTGTCACGGGTTACCTGCGAGGAGAGGCTCCTTTCAGGTACTTGTAGACAGTGATTAAGATCTCTCCTGAGCCTGCTTTTGTCCGGATTAAACACTCCCAGCTCCCTCAGGTGCTCCTCTAAGAATTTATGTTCCAGACCCATCACCTTCTTGTTGCCCTTCTCTGGACCTGCTCCAGCATCTCAGTGTCCTTCCTGAACTGAGGAGTCAAAACTGGGGAGAGCAGAGTAGGCTTTCCAGGTGCCACAGGTAAGCAGCTAAACCCTCGGGAATGTGCTCTTGAGACAGCAGAGCCTTTTGGGGGCACCAGTCTTCGGTCTGGGTGTTTGGGTGCCGGCCAGAGCCGGCCCAGGGTGTTTGGGTGCTCAGGGCCAGCTGGGGAGGAGGGTGACTCTCACACTCCTGTCTTGCAGCCACAGGGCCGGAGCTGTGCTGGCCCTGGGTAGAAGTCTCCAGAGGACACTCAAAAATCTGCCTCCCATACAATATTTACAATGTGCAGTGGGAAAAAAAAAGCTTTTTTTTTTTTTTTTTTTTTTCTTCTTTTTTTTTTTTTTTTTTTTCTTTTTTTTTTTTTTTTTTTTTAGAGGTGGCTTCCGTCCATGAGGAGAAAAACACCAACAGGGCCTGGCTGGCAAGGAGACCAGCTCCATGGAAGTCCCTATCCAGCCCATGTGCAGAGCTGGAAGCATCTGCCAGGTGAGTCAATGCTCTGTCATAGACTGGTTTGCAGGGCCAGCTGGGCCAAGGGGTCTTCCCAATTGTCCTCCTGCCTCCAGTTCCCATTTCTGCTCCTTTCTTTGGGCTGCTCCCAAGTCCATGTCAGCACAGAGCCCAGTGTCCTCAATAATTTGGAAAGCATGCATGGAGCTGGCCTCCCTGTCAGGGGAGTGGCTCTGTGGACAAATGCCACCCCCACTGGGAAGCCTGCTGGGAGGTAGGGATGGTGCATTTGCCTTCTCCCCATGGTAGCAGTGAGGATACTTTTTGTGCCACATCTGGCCTCTAACTGCACAGCTGCAAGCAATTCTCTCTCTCACCTTCCTTACAGAGCAGAAAGAAGGACTGAAGTGTCAACATTTGTTTTCCATTAACTTGTGAAAACATAGACAGCTATTGTTAAAGCTGGAGACTTCCTGCTGTAAGTTGCCATTTAAAAAACTTATTACTCTGCAAGGCAAAAGGGTTTTGTTGGGGAAAAAAACCCACACTTTTTTGTTTCATAAATTCTTTTTTGATAAAACCAATGGTAGGATTTAAAGCTGGGGAGAGAGAGCTGAAAGATGTACCCATTGCAGGAGTTCTGCAGATTTACAGTAATATTTCACGTGCTGAGGGTATGGTGGGGTTTTAGCATGTGTTACTTAATGACACGGTTTACAGCAGAGATGAAGGGACCCATATTCAGATTTCCCCAGGAGACAGACATGGGATAAGGTGAACATGTCCTGTGGAACCCCTGCAGTGCTGCCTCCCCTTCTCCAGGCAGAGCCACTACACCCTGGCTTGGCGTCACTGGTGCAGAGAGGTTTGGCTGGAAGTGCTGGACTTAATGGGATGAGCCCCAAAAGTGGTGGAAGTTCCAGCCTGACTGACACTTGTCACTGTGGTCCAGCACAAGTTTCTCCTGCACATTGCTGGCAGCTGGGCACCATTGAGGTGATGAGGGAGATGCAGGATCGCTCTGGGCTGTGCAGGCTTTGCCCAGCCAGCCCACAGTGCCAGGCACAGAATGCACATGAGCTGGCTCAGGTGCATTTCTGCCCGTTTGCTGTGATCAGGCAGGGTGTTGCACAACTGTGGCTGTGTTTGCCCCTGAAGCAAAGGTAGGTGGACGTCTGGGCAGGGCAGTGTGGCAGACTGTGGACACAGGCTCTTATCTCTGGGAAGCCAAGATAGTGGCTATATTTAGCTGGGTGCTAGGGCCTTGGGCAGTGATCTTTGTGATTTCCCCACAGCTTTCCCCACACCCCTCCTGCTTTGCAGGGGGGTGAGACAAGCTTGTTCCCTGGCATGAGGAATAGGCTGCACGTTGCTTTTCTTTGGGGGAGTGTTGTAAGAACTAGTCCCATCCATGACAGACAGCTCTGGAAGGAGGGTCCCACTTTCCCATCACGTCTCCCTTGGCTTTTCTTTCTCATTCAATGGGTATTTACCCCAGCACATCCTGGTACAGGACTCCTGCACCTCTTGGATGCAGCCCTGCTGGTTTGCTGCCTGAGGGAAGGCTGAGCTTCTCCAACCCTCCAGAGGGGCCCTCCTTCCCTTGCCATGCTCCCTTAAGAGCTACTCTACCAGCAGGCTTGAACAGGTCCTCAGGGACCCTTCCTGATCCTGCCACCTCCTCAGTGCTCTGCTGGAGACATGGGTGCATGGAGCATCTTCTCCTCCATGTTGGGAATCTGCAGGCTGCAGCAACAGCTCAACTTCCCAGCAGCCGGCCTGTGGGCAGCCCCTGCAGGAAAGGGGCTTTGCCACTCATTGCCAAGAGTGTTGTGCAATGTGTCCACACCACATCAGGCTGCAGGGCCAAGGCTCAAGGGCAAGGGCTGTAAACCAGCAGAGTGCTTGATGTAACAGGGAGCTGTGCAGGGGCTGCTGCCATGGGGCACCCCTTCCCATATCTCATGCTGTCTCCCAAGTCAGCAGTCCCCTCCCACCCCTTTTAGGTTTCCTGAGACTCAAAAGCTGATGAGGAGAGATGCAGTGAGCATCCTTGCTGGCCAAAAGCAGAGCAGGGCTTGGCTGCAGAGGCCAGCTGGCCAGCAGCCACTGATCAATGTGTGTGCTTGCTGGCCAGCCAGCACCGACAGCCCCTTGGCCAGCTATGGCTAACGTGACAGAAAGCTGTAGGAAACATGGGTTCCCATCAGCTTGGTAACTGCAGTCAACTTGGTGACTCTCACCATCATCTGTGTGTGCTGAAGCCTGATGTAATGCTTGGGAGCTCCTTGAGCTCCCAGCTCCCAGTCCGGCTTCTCTAGTGTCATAGAAAACACAGCTTCACCAAAGGACAGACCTGGGAAGTCCTGTTGGGTGATGGGATTTCCCCTTTTTTTTACCATAGGTCTCCAACTCCTGTGTCTGTCCCAGGCAATTAAGCAAAAAGCATTCAATGTACCCCATTGAATCAAAGGCAGTATCAAAGAAGTCCCAGTCTTGGCTAAGGCTCTTGACTGTGCTTTGGGGAGCTGTGCTCCAGGGCAGAGGCCCCACTGCTTCTCCTATCCAGAAATGAGGAGTTGCTTCAATATATTCTGGCTGCAGGCCTGAGGAGGGGTATTTATCTTGGCATGGCTGCCTTTGGATCTCGTGTGCACCCATGGTCAAACACACCGAGGAATGTGTACTCTGCCCACTGAAGACCATGGCACTTGCCCTTGCAGGCCAACATGCACAGCAAAAATGGTTTGGGGCCAGATACAAAGCCTGGCCTGGTATCGGTGTGTGTGATGGAGAAAGACTGGGTATTACAAAACTGTGGTTCTTAATATCAAAAATGCCCAACAAAAGAGACCTTTAAAATTGTTGCAAAGAAAGGGAAAATATGGGGGAATGAATGAAGGCAAATTAGCCACAACAAAGGCTGCTACTAGAGAGAAAAAGGGGAATGGGCTTTCAGCAAAGGAAGAGCTCAAAGGACAGCACAAGGAGACAGATGACAGTACAGAAACCAAATGACAGGCAGACAGGAACAACAAAGAGAGGAGTCCTTGGCCTGACATAAAATGTGCTTGTTGAAAATGTTGTATCAGTGCTAAGGTGGGAATGGGTACCAAGTTAAAAATTTTTTTTCTCCAGAGACTGGGACCCAAGAGGGGTGAGTCCCTGTAGGAAGAGAAAGGTGCTGCTTTTTCAACACATATAATATTCTTTTCAGAAAGCTGCTCAAGGACATTGCCTCCCTGCAGTCTACAGAATTCATTCTCGTCAGCGTCGTTCTGGAAAAATCATAGCAATAGAAAGGAGGTTGGTTGTCTGTCCCAAGATTGCATAAAGCAGTGCAGCAACTTTTTTTTTTTTCTTGAGAGCCTCCCTTCCTCTATGAGAATGCACTGTGGAAATGTCTGGTTTGACCTCCCAGAAACTTTTCTTTGTTATGCTTCAGCTGTTTTAGAGAAACATGGTGGTTTCCCATCCCTTCTGCTGTTTGTTTGAACCCAGGAGTACCTGGTTGGGCAGATACTATGTGTAAAAAAAACCCAAAAGCTGTAAACAGGAAGGAAGAAAGAAAGGAGCATAAAGACACAGCTTGGACTAAACCTCAAATCCTCCAAATTCCCCATGTGCAGGAGATAGACAGCAAGGGCTGGGCTGGAGTGGCAAGAGTATGAAAAGGAATTTGGGCTGTTTCAGTGGATACACTGGTGTGATTGCAAATCCAGAGAGATGCTCAGCTCCTCTCAGGCAGGCTGAATCAGCCCAGCTGCATTGACAGCTTGCCTTTTTTATACCATACAGGTATCCAACTGGCTGAACTTGAACCTGTCCTAGATGCATAACTTACGGTGAAGCAATATATATTTTAACTTTGGTGCCCTGCAAAGTTTGCAAACCTTATTTGGTGGAGCAGTTGTCTTGGGAACTTGTATGTATCCAGGCTTGGGGACTCAGAGGACTTATCTTTGTGCAAGAGGCTGAGCTTTGCCTGAAAGCCACTTGTATGCAGAGGAAGGCTGGGGAGAAAAAGCCAGACTGATGAGTGCATGTAGTTCTTGATGATAAATATGATCCTAAGCTCCTTTCAGGGGTTCATACCCTTCAGCTGAGCCTTTCTGAGGATCCAGGCTCTCTGCTGGTCCATCTCTCCATGAAGCATTTTGTCTCATCTGAAGATTAGTGTCAATGAAAGATGGGATCTGTTGCTTTCTGGACCTGCCTGCCTTTGTGCATTCACTATAGCAAGTCTGAAAATCAACAGGGACAAGATGCCTGACTTTTAAACAGTATCCTGAGCAAGTGCCAAAGGCGATGTCTGCGATAAAAGCTTACGGTACTGGGAAATGTCAGCTGAAGCTGCTCCAGTTATCACCCTTTGCATTTTTTGAAAATGTTTTTCAAGTGTAATCTGCCTTTTTATTTGGAAGTTTTAATTTAATCCCGTGTGGGCAAGACTTATTCAAGGATTTTTATCCAATTAACCAGAATCTTGAAGTTTCCTTCTTGCAGAAACTTACTCCTAGCAAAAATTACCCCTATCTGGGGATCATGTACTTCTGAAATTGCACAATAAATGCTACTCAGTAGGTCACTTGAGATCCCAGTTTTGGAGCACACAAATGCCTCCAGTGTCTGCAGGTGCCCTGGCATTGCCTTGTCTCCTGAGAACTAGGATCCTGCAGAGACAGCTCTCTCCCTGCCTGATCTTACATGATCCAGCTAATCTCATCTGCACCTCACAGTGACTTTGCACCACAACCAGGGCTTCTAAACTTGGATTGGATAAAGCAGAATTTAGGAAATTTGCCTGCAGACAAGAGGCACACCCAGGGCAGGAATAACTCTAACGGGCTCTGGAAAGCAGGCCTGCTATTCATAGGAAGGCTGCCTCTGTCTCTGCCTGGGTAGCAGGGAGTCAGGCCATTGAATGGTACAGTAAGCATTGTCCCAATGCTGATGGCTGGGAATAGCTCATGTCCCAAGCCCACGGAGCCTGCGAGCATTTTTATCTGTCTCTTTCAGCTCTCCTCCTCCTCTAGTCTTTGCTCATCTCATGTTACTGATCTACTCAGCTTCCCTTCATCAGCAGCTACTGGGACCCTGCTGTGGCTGAAAACCCGAGTAAAAAAAGTGCAACCTCCTCCCAAAAGTAAGACAAACAGTGTGGTGTCCCTCAAGTTTCCCTGAATGCTACTGATTCCTGAGCAGAAGTTAAAGTGTTGGAAAGCAAGTCAAGATGGTGCAGACACAGCAGTTGGTGAAAAAGAAGGTCTTTGGCTTGTAAATAGAAGACCAGCTTATAGTGGTTTGAATCCAGTGGCACCAGCAAAACTGTAAAAAAACAGCAATAGCTGGGGGCTGCAGGAAAATCACCAAGTTGAAATAAATATTATGGTTCTGAAAGTCACCACAAATAGCCTAGGAATTGAATTTGCAGACTTATCTACTCCTAATGAAGGAGAAAGAAATCTAGAAGAGGTG